TTGGGATCCTTTGCATCTACACTTATGTTTGGCAGCAATTTAACGTGTTTTGCATGCTTGCTCAATATTGATTGGATTGAATGTAAAAATAATTACACGTTTCCTGCGAGTACTTCGATCACCCCTCCACCCTTCCATAGGTCAAAGGATTTCAAGAAAAGGTTTCTAATACTAATTTTAAATACAATTTAAAAAAAAAAAAAATTCCTTTCGAATCTAAACATTATTCTTATATTCTTCTATATATCAGTCAAGGCTTTATTCGAGTCAATTGGTCGTTAGTTTGGTTACGCTATCACACTCTTATTGCACCTTAAAGTGTACTATAATCGTAAGAGTACAACTGACAATGAGACAACACCTCTTCTAACACTTGTGCGTAAAAAAGGCATAACTAAAATGGCATCGTCATTATCATCATATTATCCCAAAGCATTTTTCCAATGTATTCTACAAACAGGTACAAAAAACGAATCGGAAATACCCGTAGGATAAGGTATAAAAATGTGCGGAAAGAATACAATGGCTTGTGTATTTCGTGCACAAAAATAAGTTAAATAGAAGAGGAATTAGTTTAGGTGTTGATCGAATTTCTTAACACCCATCGTTACACTCTGCTAAAAGCGTAAGTAAAAATTCGTATTTATAAATTAAGTATTGGACCCTTCATTGTTGTCCATAAGAATGAATATGAATAAACGAACACACACACACACACACACACCTACACACACGCTCACATTTTGAACGCTATGAACTTTGGTAATTTGGTATATTTAGTATATATATATATTTTTCTTTAATATTTCATCTGGATCTGGTCTGATGTCTTTAGATATCATTGATTTTTCACAAGTTTCATCAATTTTCACGTAAATTTAAGCAAACGCGAAAAATACCATAAGAGTTTGAATGCAATGCAAGGTAATGAGCAGACATCTTATAATAGATGCAACATGACTACTACTGTACAGTGCGAAATCTTAGACTTTTCTGTCTCTTCTCTGGCTCTTATCAACAACTTCTTGTTCACAGTAAAAATATTGACTTTTTACTCGAACGTAAAAAAAAAAAAAGAAAAGGCAAATATGTTCAAAATATAAAAATAACAATAACAAATTTGTTTTCTCAATTTTACAAGACCGTTATCCTTAATATTCTATGATAGTAGCACTAATAGAGTAATGGTAGTAACACCATTAAGCTGTGCTTGTAATACTAGTACTAGTAGTAGTAGTAGTAGTAGTAGTAGTAGTAGTACTAGTAGTTGTAGTAGTAGTAGTAATAGCATATGACACTTGAGTGTATAGTGATGCTCGTAGTAGTGCATACAGTATTTTAGGGCTGACAAAAGGAGTTTGTGGTTAGATAGAAAAAATATCGAAAAAAGGCAAAAAAGGCAAAGAAAAAAAAAACAATTTTTTCTGAGAAGTTTGAACGCACTTGAGTTGGCCACAAGTAGCACAACAATATCTTGTTAACAGGACGCAACATAAACCGAAATGAAACGAGCAAACATATGTTTTTGCTTTCTTTAATTTTTGTTTATTCAATTTTGTCAAGTGATGACCAACAGTTTTGCTTATCTAAATAGGTGAAGGAATAATTTTTTTCTTCCTTTTCTTATTATTGCTGCTTACGAACATCATATGACAATAATTGCACCTTTTTAGGAGTTAACCATATTTTTTTTAAATTTTTTTTATATTTTTATTCTTCTATTATTATTATTTCATTAAATTAATCTCTCTCCTCGTAGCTTATCGCCTCTGAGAATTGAAAGGTTTTCATTTCATGCTCGCACCTCTGGAGGGCCCGGATATGCTTTAATCTCGAAAACAGCAGCAACAACAACAACAACAACAACAACAAAGAAATCATCTGAAATATAAATTTACTTATCCGTTGTAAACGGTGTTATGTAACATATGAAAGATCGATAGATCTCTAAATCGATGATAAAGATAATGAACGATATATTCGAACGATAGATTTAAAAGTATCAAGCCGTCTATAGATGATCGCAATCAATGCTATCGAATTTCGTGGCGAAAAATGACTTCTGCTATACTATGGGTAAGTGAAAGCGAACTCAAATCGTACAAAGACTCATCCAATAGGACGGGTAGTCGTATTAAACAACTTGATTGATGAATAAATGTCTTCGATTCCCATAGAAAGGGCCCTGTGGAGTTAGATATTTCTACAGATACAATAACAAAGCATAGTCTACGGTCTATGTCGTTCAAGAGTGTCGAGAATGTTCGGTATACTCTCATCATTCCTGATATTCTCTTGCTCGTCGCTGTACGCCGTCAAGATTCCCCAGGTAAGATATGCAAGTTTTCTTCAACGCATACAAATCATACGCGAATCTTTACTTTCTGCCCGAAGTAAAGTCATGATGGGTCTTCGAATAATGCTACTGTGGTATCATTGACGGTCGGCTCAAGTGCATCAGAGATGCCTTGTTGAATTGGCTTAGCGCATAATAATCCTGTTTTCCCAAATGCGAGACACTCTCTAAGTATTCAATTTTACTGTTCTGATGAATTTTTTTCTACAAAAGCCTGGCGTTATTGGTGCCTCTCACATAAATAGTTTCGCGATTAACTTAGCCCGTCCTTTTGCCATTAATCGTGTCTTTATTCGAATGCCATAAGAGAAGTGAGATTTTTTCTGAAAATTTCATTCCTTCGATCTATTAAAAAAAAAAAAAAAAATTTATTATCATCTCATTGCAAACGCTTGCATATTGCTTTCGCATGGCCAAGTCATCCAAGACAAGTGATATTTAATATGATATAGTGGTAGATTCATTTCATCGTGGAAAAGTGAAACGAAAATTTCATATTTACTGTTATTAAATTCTACTTTGAAACGAACAATGACATTATTACAATCGTATATTATGTTTAAACTGATTTCTATTATCTATAATTAATCAGGTCATCATAAAAATCTTAATCTTCGATGGTTGACTTGTTCTAACAACCAAGTGAACGGGACTTAAATGAGTTAACCTATCATCAAATGTTTTAAAACTCTAGCGCGTAGAATCGAATTTATTCGCCAAGTCAAGTATCAGATTTTCACCTTTTTCCGATCAGCTTTTGCTACGAGCGAGAACAATCGAGAAAAGAAGACTGAATGCAAAGAAAGCCATATTTGTCGAATTGTTCGACTAATGAAAGAAGTGAAAATGATCTTTACTTTTTAGATTTAAGTAAATGATGTGCTAAGGAATTGAATCGATTTAACTTAATCCGCTTGTTCTTCTGCCCCGTTTGCAAATTTCCACAATTCTATTCACTATTCCTAACTGGCCTCTTTCCTGTAAGAGAGAGAGAGAGAGAGAGAGAGAGACAAAAAAAATAAAAGAAAAGAAGAAAATAAACTCTATCTCTCTCTCTCTTTCTCTCTCTCTCTCTCTCTCTCCCTGTCGCCATATACGACTTTATTAGCGTACATAATTAACCCTTAACGAGGACGCCTATCTACTGCACCTTTAACTAGGGCGGGCATATGCATAATAGCAATTTTTAATATCTTTAAAGGCGGCAAGAGTAGAGTGGAGAGAACAATGATCGAGGAGAATGACAATCGAAACAGGGAAAGATAAAAGAGATATATAATTGATCGGTATGTGTTGCGTATAAGCCGTGCGTGCATATGTATTTATATGCGTTAGTCAGTAATAATTTCATTTTCCATCCCATCCCTTCCCTTCCCTTCCCTTCCATTTCATTCGATTTTGCTTTTTTTTACTTTTACTTTTTTACATCATTTGCTTGCTTGATTTGCTTGTCCGTCGATGCATGAGGCTTATTAAGGCTAACAACATTTATTTCTTATTTTTTTTTTATTTATTTCTTTCATTCATTCATGCGTCTTATTCTGAAGGCATTTGGTCTGTCACTTGGTTGGTTGCCTTTCCATCATACGCGCATAAATATATGGTTGCGAAATGATGCGAAGAAGTGCTTCACCCTTTTCTTGAAATCATTTTTTCAGTTTTTATTTAAATCTTACGTGGAAACGGCTTATAAAGGCTTACAAATGCATCGTGTTATTGTGAATTGTAAAATTTGTTTATTTTTTGCTTTCTTCGCAAATGTATAAACATATAAATGTACATATTTATACAAACACACATACATACACTCATACATACACACACACACACACACATACATACATACATACATACATGTATTGTGCTTTTCCGACACATCACTTTGTGCTTTGATTGAGAAGAGTGTATGTTGTTGCATCTTAGATAAGCTAAGTTAGCTCACTTGTGCTCGGAGTAAATTCTATTATGATTTAAGTACAATTAATATTTCTCAAGTTTTTTTTTTTTTTTTTTTTTTTTTTTTTTCCTTCTCTTCATTTTCCTCCTGCAGTTCCTTTGACATTGAATTGCATGCTACGAAGCTGGCATCAAGTATCTCCTGCTTCTTTATATAGTTCTTATTATTTTATTCGTCTTATATGAGATTCAAGTGCAGTCAAGCTGTATACCTTTCGGTATAAAAGAAATGCTTTAAAATCATATATATATTGTTAGCATATTCTCTAATTAGCTTCGACTACCTTCTCATATATATATATATAGCAAAAAAAAAAAAAAAAAAAAAAAAAAACAATTTCAATGTAAACATAAAATGAACTTTAAAAAGTTAATGAAAAATCGCATTTTCCTCCTATCAATATTTTGAACGTCTTATATTATTGTTGCATATAAATAAACCGGTCAAATATTTCCTCTATGCCTTTTCTTATATTGTAATCATCTAAAGCTCGTGATAAGTAAGTTGGCAATTCATAGCTTTAAGGATATTTATAGCGGCGCGTCCAGCCACCCTCGGAAATACAAATTTCTAAATGCATCGTTTTTTTTTTGTGTTTTAGAAATCTTTCTTGCTTTGTTTTTTTGTTTTTTTTTTTTCTTTTGAATTTGTCACCTTGCGGTTTGTGGTAGCGGATTGAATACTTACCGACAAATTGCGAACCGAAATGTTGCTGAAAGTGACCACGAAATTCATGGGGTGTGCTAAAGCCCGGCGGTAAAAAGCCTCGTAAATATGCGGCAGCTGCCAAAGTGGTCATATGATGATGATGAGCGGCCGCATTTAGGGGGCCGCCAGTAGCGTGATCAGCCGCTGCAGCAGCCGTATAACCAGCGGCAGCATAAAAATTGGCCGGATTAAATACAGGCAATTGAACATGAGCAGCAGCAGCAGCTGCCGCGGCTGCAGCAGATAAACGTGTCACATCAGGTGACATAGACCGTGCGTCACGTAAACGTATTGGCGTTGTAGACCCAGGAGATATTGATGCCGTGTTACAATCATTATTGGGCGTTAATGATGATGGTGGTGTTACAGTATTTAAGCGGGTTTCCGTTATATTAAGCGATGCGGCATTCGAATTTAAAGCTGACGGTGGCAATGGCGGCGTTGACGGTGCAGTCAATGTGGGTGGCAAATTGTGATGATGTTGCAAATGAGCAGCATGAGGATAACCAGCTGCTGCAGCAGCTGCTGCTGCCGAACCCACACCTAAGCCAAGAATTTCTTGTATAGCGAACGGAGTACGCATTTTTGTAGCTTGCATTTTTGCCGACGGCTTTTGCTTTCGCTCACTTTATTGCTCGTTAATAAAACAGTTATTGAAACGATTAGGATTTTTTTTTAGCTTTCAAGCATTTTGTTTGATGCTCGATGTCTATCGTAGAAGAAACTTTCTAATGCATATAAAATTTATTTATTTATTTTTGTTTTTTTCTCTTTTTTCAATTTCTTAATTAAGGACTTAATTAATTATTAATTTTATTATATTTAACTTAACAAGCTCGCAACGTTCGACGTGAGTAGTGTTTTACACGATTTTGTCTTTGGATTTAAATATCGTAAGATAATTTCTTAATTATAATTTAATTGTGAGAATTCAATTTTTATTTTTTTTTTAAATTTTTATTCTAATTTTGCCATCAATTGCATCATTATGCATTGCGCTTATTTTTTCTTCTTCTTCTTGTTATTATTATTATTATTTTTGTTTTTTTGTTTTTTGTTTTTTGTTTTTTTTTTTTTTTTGTAATCAATTAAATCGGTTTAGTTTTTCGTTTCTTACGGTTAGTCTTCATGTCTCGCTTAACAATCTGTCTATTCTGACGCAATCGTTATCTATGATAAATAATCCTTGATGAATAACGAAAATATTTTTCTTAAATTTTTTAAGCATACATTGCGCTCATATTATTTCATTTTTATTATTATTATTCTTATTATTATTTTTTTTTTTTTTGTTCATTATTATTTTTTTTTTTTTTTTTTTTTTTTTTTTTTTTTTTTTTTTTGAAAATGTTTTTCAATTAACACAAAATTTTTACTAAATATTGCACTTGTTCACTTTGCTTTCTTGCAATTGTTTTTTTCAAAGGTCGAAATTTTTCACAATTTCAAAAAGTTTCTTATTAACAACGACAACACCCGTTTATTTATTTATTTGTTTTTTTTTTTTTTTTTTTTTTCTTTGTATTTTATTAAAATCGTACTCAGGTCGAAAAGAAAGGGTACGCAAACAAAAAAATAAAAAAAAAAAAAAATTTCTCTTAATATCTTGCACGTGCTTTTGCACTTGCAATCGCACTATGAAAGAGAGTTGAAATGTGTGAATAACTTTTTTTTGTTTTTTTTTTGTTTTTTTTTTTTTTAATTTGCTTTTTTGCTTTATACACTAAGGAACCAACCGTCAATGTTATTAACTAACTGGATGACTGGCGTAGCATGTCGCTGAAAAAAAGACGTTTTGTATGCTCAAAGTACCAAATTAAACTGAATTGTCAGAAACCAACTGCTCAGCGAACAAAAGCATCATCAGTGAGTTGCAGATGCATGTATGTTAAGCAATAACGCCATATTTTGCCTTTATTTAATAAGAGCGAGAATGAAATAGCATTAAAACTAATATGGTTAGACGAGCAAGCTATTTCACTCATACTTATAATATTATGCTAACAATTTATTCCAATTGGAGGGGATTATAAAAGTTTCCAATTAGTATCTTGTGTCTTGTATCTCGTAGATACACCGCTGCTAAGAAAATGTGATTACAATATCTCCTCCTTGGAAGTTTCGCTATCTCTTTCCGTTCGCTATCTTGTACAATATGCGCTATCCTTATCTTACCAATAACTAACTTAACTGTTGTCATCTACAATTACCGATATCTTATATATATATATATATATGCTGATAGTATTAGTTCATTGTTATGGATAAATTTTTGTATGCTGCTCCTCTTGTTGTTATTGTTATTATTATTATCATTATTATTATTATTGTTGTTGTTGTTGTTGTCGTTGTTGTTGTTATTGTTATTGTTGTTTCTCGTTTTCTTCTGTTATTTTAATGGTGTTCGAATTTGAGTTTTTTTTTTTGAATTTTTAACTTTACATTATTTAAAGGCGCTATACGCACATTCCTAATTACGCTCTCCATTCCGTTTACTGTTTAAACGTTTTTCTAAAGCTTGTTAGTTACTCTTCTTATTAAGCGGATATGAAATGAATGAATGAATTATTATTAGAATATTATATATATATATTGTGTGTGTGTGTGTGTGTGCATTTGTGGTGTTTATTTTTTCTCAAATCAAAAATAAAAAACACACACACTTTTCAATATCTAATATAAAAAGCAACTGAAAAAATACAATTTTGCTGAATTAATAACAAAAGCTGCCCAAGATTTATTAGCAAGTGTGACTAATTGCCAACGATTTCGAGCTTATTTGAACAATTTCATTTGAACGGGATGTAAAGAATAGCCAGCTGGAATGTTGTGCTAGTCTGCTAAGCTGATAGTCAAATTTGAATAAAAAATTTGCGAGGAAACTGCTTACCGCACTAGAACAATTGATTAATTCGCAGAATTATGTGAAAAAAATAAAAAATTATTTTTAATTTATTTTGGGAAAATAAGATGCGTACTGCATTGAAAAATCCATTAACAAACTCACAAACAAACATATCATAATTATTGCAAGTGAAATTTCTATTGTGTCGCTCGGAACAGAATCGAAGAAAGAGAAACTTATATATATTTTCATAAGATATCTGCAAGATCGAAGGCTGACTACTGACAGCGTTTACTGTAAAATAAATAAAAGTTTATCTTCAGATTTTCTATGGAATGCAAATTTCTTAAGGATATCGATAACACAATTACTTTGTTGTGATTAAGAAAAGTATTCCTCGAACGAAATCAAAGTTGTAATTATAGATATATGCGTAAGAAGTCGTAAGTTTTCTGCTTTCATTTTTTTTTTAGCGTCTCCTTTTTGGGCTCTACGTCATTTATTCATTTCAACATTACTGAATGCTATTGCTTCGCAGCTGCAATGCCGAGTTACAAAGCGATTCTTATTGCAATTTAATTTAATATTAATTAAAAAATAAAAGTGCAACTTTTTTTATTGTAAAATTTAGGTTTAGGTTCTCCGGTTCGGAAATCTGTTTCCGATTGAAATCGTGCTGGTTAAAGGTAAAAATAAAAAAAACAAAAAAATCATTCAATATAAAGTTATTTGGCTAGTGAATGCAGACACGAATAATATATAAATTCACTTCGTCAGTTGATGATATTTTGCAAAAAAAAAAAAAAAAAAAAAAAATAAATAAATAAATAAATAAAAATAAATTTCTTAACTTTTTGGGTAAGCAACAGTTTTCAATACGCTTTAGGAAAATAATGAAACTTGAAAATGCTTAGTTGGCTTTAGTTAAGTTGGCTTTCTTTCCTTTCGATCCTTTATTGATTGAATTGATTTTACATTTTATATTTGTCGTGATTTGTGATTCTCTTTCAAGTCAATTCTATGCTTTTCATTTTTATCTTTTTAGCCAATCTATGCTTTTCGCTTTTGTATAAGTTAATGTTATTCATTTTCCATGAGTTGTGAAGTAAATATATTAGTTATCTTGTTGTCTCTCTCTTTCTTCTTAAACTATCTCTCTTTATTTTATTTCGAAATTTCTCCATAGAGTTCTCTTTTTCATTATTTTTATTTGTTTTTCTGTATAAGTGCTATGTGCTATGTACTTAATTATAATGTGTCTCATTCAATACTTGCAAAGGAGGTAAGTGTAAATGTAAGTGTAAGTGTTAATCCATATATCTCTTCCTTTGGTTATCTAGGAAATATGTTAATTAAGAAGAATCGCGCTCTCATTGCTGCTATTCTCAACTCTAGTAGTTAATATTGTTGTTGTTGTTGTTGTTGTTGTTATTGTTGTTATTGTTATTGTTAAAATTGCTCCCTCTGTTAAGTTTGCTCTTACATTCGATTTAACGCTAATTAGAGGACGAGGAGACAATTAATTTATCGATTAGCTTTTAAAAAGGCAATAGAAAGTGAACTCTTGGTCCTTATGGCTTTTATTTATTTGCGGAAAAGAGGAAAAGAATGCACATATTAATATATATGTAATAATAAAAATATATGTAAGAGACAGAAATAAATGTTAAGTAAAAGTAATTGAATAATAACGATGGTAAATTTTATATATATATATATGTATATATATATATATATATATATATGTATATATGAGAAAAAATTTGAAAAATTTTATTTGAATCGTCGATTGATTTTATAGGTATACGGTAATAATAAGTTTAAGGACTTATCTTCTTTTGATACGTTAAACAGTAAGGGACACGCTATATAGAAAAATGATGGCCATGTTGTTGATGATGATGATGATGATGATGATGATAATGATGACAATGATGATAATGATGATGATGATGATGATGCATTGTATTTGATGCTACCTACACATATATGTAAATGTAACGCAATCAAATTAAATAAATAATCAAAAATGCTTAGCTGTTGTGTTACGTTCCCTTTTTCCAAAAATTGTTTCTTCTTCTAATTTGACTTTAGTAGTTAATGGTGGTGTGTCGCGCGCAACAAAAATAGCGCTTGCTTGCAAGTGTTTCCTTGGTTATATACATAACCATATACGTATACATATACTTATATATATACTTATATATATATATATATATATGTCCATTGTTATATATATTGTTTACAAAGCCAGAGAAAGTCTTTTAGTATGAGATCACATGAAACATGTAATTATGAAATTATTATTATATATTTTTTTTATTTTTATTTTTTTTTCTCGCAATATCTTACAAGTGGCTATGTAAATGGATGAATAGACATACATACACATACACACGCACAAACACACACACACACACACCCACGTACATATAATGAACAATAGCCGACATATGTAATAAGTATTTAATTGGGGAATGATATTCTTTATGTGCTTGTGTTAACTCACATTATCATCAAGTCATTCCTTTTTTTTTTTTTTTGTATACACACGCGCTTACGTTAATTTATTTTGTTAAGTAGAAAATTGTATTAAATTATTGCATTATTATATTATTATTATTATTACTACTGTGATGTGTGTGTTTGTGTGTATATGCGTAATATCTCAAGTTGCTACTCCAAAATGTGGCAGTGGGTACTTTTTCCTTTTTAATTAAAGTAAAAAGAGTATGAACGATACGATTTTTGTGCACACATGTATGTACGTATAAAGGGTGGGTATAAAAGAAAAAAAAAAAAAAAAAAAAAAAAAATTATTTGTAAAAGAAAAAAAAAATAAAAAAAATGAAATAAATCAGAAAAGGAAAGCAAATAATTTCGTTTTTACTGAAATCTTATACAAAATGACTTCCTGGGCATTCTTTTTAATAATGTTATCTGAATTTCTGATTCACGAAAAATGTCTGCGAAATGCATTTTCAATACAAAAAACTTTTAATTTAAAACTAATTTGCCATATATATGCAATTAATGAAAATTATAAGAATCAATACGAGAAAGGAGGGCGAACGTAAAAGCAAAACTACTCTACTACTACTACTACTACTACTACTACTACTACTACTAATAAGAGGAACTTTGAGCAAATCTTGAGCGCATACACGTGCGTGATATTACCACTGACTTGCGATTTAATATTTTATAATTTT